CAAGGCTGTTTATCAGATTCGGTGCACTGTTTATTCTGGAGTACCTCAAGGGTCTGTTTTCGGTCATAATTTTATTTAATAATTATTTTTGTTAAAACATTAATGTAAAGTAGATGCATGTCACCCGTTAAAATGTAGAAAGTAGAACACCAGTTAAAAATCAAGCATATTTTTCTTGGGGCTCATATTACGAATGCAAGATTGCCTGGTATTGTTCGAATTTTGAAAAGCTGTTCGCTTTAATACGTTTTTTTTTTTTTTTTATATTTCCTTCACATCAAACAGCAAGCACCCTGGCCACTTATAGGATGAAACGATGCTTTTTTTTAAATTTCCTTCACATCAAACAGCAAACACCCTCGCCACTTATAGGATGAAACGATGCTTTTTTTTAAATTTCCTTCACATCAAACAGCAAACACCCTCGCCACTTATAGGATGAAACGATGCTTTATAAACCATGTTTCTTTATGAAGCTTAGGCAGTGGAGTTGTTTTTGAAAAAAAAAGAAAAGAAAAAGAGAAAAAGCTTGAATCTCTTTGTAAATTTTTAAGCCACTTTCATAGAGTACGAAGTTCCAGCATGGTACCCTTATCAATGTCCTCACAATATTACATGTTAGAATCTGTACTGAACACAGGATTTAATAGATCTTGTTTCAATTATGACAAACTTCTTAGTTATTACTGATTGTCTCATTTCTTTTACAATGCCTTCAGAGGCAGTGGCGGATCCAGGAACTCAAAACAGTGGGGGGCCCAGGGAGGGACTACTTTATGATAATGCCTATGGCCGGAAATTGCACTCTCAGACCTAAATTTGATTGAAATTGCCGTAAAATAACCCATCTCCCGCAAATCCAAATTATCTGCATGCTTTTCTACTGCATTATCAATTATCTCCAGTAAATCAGTGGCAATGGGTATCGCCATGCACCACAGAATGAAATCAGAAGTGTTAAGAAAGCTCATTTAAACGGATCTACTGGATGTGGCTTCTTCCAACTAGGGATTCCTGCCTTTGAATCCAGAGATGTCCGAAAGGGAGGGGGAGGGGGCCTGAAAATGAGCCAAGACAACACTACCCTAGGAAATTCAGGGGCACGCCCCCGAGAAATTTTTGTTTTCAAGACGACTGAAAATAACCTCCGAGGCATTTTAGCACGATCATTTTTTTTTAAATTTTCAAAAGGGGATGCCGGCCCGCCCCGGCCATAATTAAATTTAGCGTTTGGGTTGATAAAAACCGGCACTGGTATCTCCGCATAGTTTATTTCCATTTTCTATCAATAGAGTAGCCCCTCTCAGTGAAAAACACTGCTCTTCCAAGGGGCTCCATAATACAATAAAATCTACAGAAGAAACTAAACTACAGTAAATCTTAATTTATTATCTTTTGAAATATAAGTAAAGTACAGTTTGGTATGCTTTTCTCTTGTGGAATTAATTCAGCTTGAGACATTAACAACTTGATTTTCTTGCTATGGAGATATTATGTACTATCAATTCAATTGTATTATGCTTTTAAATAAAACAGCCTCATTGCTTTTGGTAGGTCTATACCGATTACTTTTTAAGCAATTATTTACAGTAGTCAAATATTGGCAAACAGACGAAAGATCGACAAAGTGAATTATTATGTTATTACTAAAAGAGCATTAAAACCAAGGGTTTAGTTTTTTTTTTTTTTATGGTGGATGGGGCCGGGGGACAGGCGAGCGTTGTTTGAATGAGGTTGATTTTACAGTTGTCCTACCCGAAGAATTTTTAAAAATTTATTTAGATAACAAGAAAAAAATAGGATAATTATAGTGACGATGAAGTGATGATGACGACGACAATGATGAAGATGGAATGAATGAGTGATGCAGACACTATCATATCTGCTGACTTGAAATTCCATAGCCACCTCAGCCCCACTTTGGTTGGGGTGAGGTGTGGCTTTGTTTAATTTACAACACCCCAAGATGTCTTGAAAAGGCACCCTTAGACTTCGAAATTGTCTTCATTTGAAAATTAAAAAACTTAAGCCACCACTTGCTAATATGCCGACATCAAGTAAACTGCCATAATGAAAAATAACTAACACTATCGTTCGTGCAATCTAAATTCAAGCAGACTTTTAAACATAAAACTGCAATTTCTATTGTGAATTATTTAAAAAAGTATGAAATTTCACAAACAGAGCTTGAGATAGGTCCTGAAAGCGTAAGTGTCCTGCCAGATAAGTACACAATGATAATGCAGGCTAAAGTGAAGTGAGTCCAAGCTGGAATTAATGAGCCCCAGCAATCATCAGCGGTAAAGTCTTTACGTTAAAGGAAATAGAAAGGACAGATTCGATGACAAGCGACATTTGTTGGTAACTATATTGGTGGTCAGGCATTCATGAATGCATCAATTAACGATCTGTTTCACTGATATCGGCGTTTGAGTGACAATTTTTAAAACTGGGCATTTGGCATGTATAATTGATTATTTTGAAGTTAAATTAACAATTTTATATGATAAAATTCAGTATAAAATATAAAGATAAATATTATTAATCAATATTTTTCTATGCATCGCTTTATCAGATTTATTTCTATAAGGGGCCCTAGAGATTGGGGGTCCAGTTTCAGTGAACTGCCTGAACCTGTGGTAGTAACGCCACTGCTAGGCAATTTTAACTTGTAATGTGCAATATTATACAAAGATGTATACTATCAATCTAGATTTTTATTTATTCATTGCTTTATTAGATTTTTTATAAGGGGGCGGGGCCCTTATAGATCGGAGGCCCTGAAGGTTGGAGGCCCAGGTTCGACGAACCTGCTGAACATGCGGTAGTTACGCCACTGAACATTGTTTGTCCATGTGACGCCATTACGTTCTCTGTCCTACCATTGTCGTGCAATAAATAGCTACCTATTAACAAGTAAATCAGTAAATATAATTTTGTAAAAAGTCACTACTGAAGAAAAAGCATACACAGAACAGAAACCAACTAAAACCTTGTTTGTTTTCACAAAAATAACCTTGCATATCGGCTTTACATTAAACACAAAAACAAATATTTATCAGTATCAAAATTGGTTAGAATGCTCTGATTAGAGTTTGCTATTTTGGTTGAAATGTTTTGGGGTTTTATTTGTTGGCTTCCTTACTTGCTTTCCTTTGCATCAATAAGCTATTCTTTTCACCTCCTGCTTACTAAATACGAAAAATACACACACACAAATATACACAAACCAGATAAGGGATCCAATATTCCTACCTACCCCAGAGGTCCATACCCACCTCAACTCACCAAAGTTGGAAAAAGTTTAATTTAAGAATAGGCACCTCTATGATATGTTCCCTGATGGATGTTCAAGGGTTCCAATAACAGAGGGTGCCATACCCCATAGACATTCACTGGCACCCTGACAGCCACTGTGGGAAAAACTGGGCATCCAAATCTTTTCAGCATCTTTTTATTTGTTCAGAATGTGTAAACTGTAATTAGGACATGAAATATGAGAAGACATATTTTTGACAATATTTTGAAAGTATGTTTTTAAATAAAGATAAATTGTACTGTCCAAGCTGATTTTAATATGAGTGTATGTTTTTTTTTTCCTACTTAAATTCAGTAAGCAAAATTTCCATGTACAAAATATACCTTTAGACAAATAAAAATTAAAACAATATAAAACACAATTAAATTAAACGAAAGATAATAAAATTTACACTAGAATTTGCCTAAAGCCACATTCAGACAGGGCTACGGTAACACAGTATTGCGGGAATATTCCCAACAATGGGTTTTTTTACGACCGCAGCCGCAATGTTGGGTTATGCAGTGTTCCATCTCAGGCCTAGTAATTATTACCGCAATAATCCTGTTATGGTGCATTCTTGTGAGCATCTGAAATGAAAGCAGGTCACATTCCCGCAATATTACTCCTTACTTATCAGCAATTTTCCAGAAACAATAAACAACAATAAAGCACGCCCTCTGTCTGTGAGAACTAAAATGATTAACCAAGGACTCTTCCCGGTGTGTGTAATCCATTCATACAGAAAGGTGTTAAATTACGGCAATATTATCGCAACATTTGGTTGGTATGAATGGTCATTTCGGAAAGTGTGCCGGTATTATTACCACAATATTGCCAAAAACTCTGTCTAAAAATGGCTTAAATTGCACTGAATAGAATAAATTTAGTAAAATTATTTTTTGCACTAAAAATTATTTAAACAAACCAATAGGTCTAAAAAGTCCACAAAAATTACTGAACACAATCTGCTGACAATATATTAAAGGCAATTTTTGAATGTACTTAATAAGTTTTAATCAAACACTCATGCAATATTCTCTATCTTATGTCTGGAAAATGAATTTAAACAAATAGAAGAATTGTAAGGAATAATGTATTAAAACAAAATGACAAAACTAAATGATTATGGGAAATTGATTAAAACAGAAACATGTATTTAAACAAATTAATAAAAAACTTAAAAAGATTATATAAAATTTAATAAAATAGGACAAAATAATTGTGGAGGAAGGTATTAAAGTTGATGAAAATAAAAGACTATCGGAAAGTAATTTAAATAAATAGAGCAGAAAATTTTGGAAAATATATTAAAGCAACTAATGAAGTCATCAAGGATAATAAGAAAATACATTTAAGTAGAATCATTTGCAAAAGGCCAAAAAGCCTGTCATTGCAAGGAAGAAATTATTTCAAAAAAATAGAAATAAATGAAAAAAAAATTATAAAAACAAATTTATAAAAAACGAAGGATTATGTGAATTTGACTAAATCAAATATAATAAATTAATGAATTGTGGGAAATGTATTAAATCATGTTGATGAAAATAAAAAGCTATGAAAATTCATTAAAACATAAAGACTTAAAGAATTATGGGAAAAGTCATAAAATTATAAATTATTTTAAATCTATTAACATGAGTATTATGGAAAATATTCTAAACTAATTTAGAAAGCATAAAGCATCAAGTTGGTTTTATACCTGTTGATTTTGTAACTGTTGATTTGCGTTTGTAATCTCCATTCGTATTGGTTGAGTGAACACTACCATTCACACTGCTTGCACGACTACTTGCTACGCTTACTGACACTGGTGTCTCAATATCTACGTGGAATAGATAAAGCGCAATTTCTTTCAAAGTGTCTCACACAAATCAGGTCAGAACAAACAGATATAATAATAACTTTAATTTATAATTCCATGAATTAGATAAAAAAGCATTAATATTATAGCAAAAACAATAATAAACATTACTTTCTCTGTCCTACCATTGTCGTGCAATAAAAAGCTACCTATTAACAAGTAAATCAGTAAATTTAATTTTGTAAAAAGTCACTACTGAAGAAAAAGCATACACAGAACAGAAACCAACTAAAACCTTGTTGGTTTCTGTTCTGTGTATTCAAACAGAAATAATAATAACTTTAATTTATAATTCCATGAATTAGATAAAAAAGCATTAATATTATAGCAAAAACAATAATAAAAATATACTACTATTCCCTCTCAGGCTATGATTATATCAACATAAAATTCTTAGCAGAAGTAAATGATTTTGAGGAGGATTTGCACAACAATGCAGAATCTTGGAGCAGTCACTATCCATACAACCAAAGGATACACATTATGTACAGTTCTGTATTTGGAAGAATATACTATTACTGAAGTCAAACTAAGGTGTAATAATTTTCATTTAGTGTATGAAATATAACTACACTTACTGCCTAAATTATTAGTATTTATTATAAAGTCTGATAGAAATGTTATTGTTATTACCTGCAGTTACACACTTTCGTTTTCGAACACCATCCCCAACAGTAAACTTTGCTGGGCTGATCAAAGGTCGTCTTTCCTTCACAACCGGATTTACTGGTTCAGACCCTTCAATGAAACAGAAGATGAACAATGCTTTTAGATTTAGATTCATTGGTGTTTTTATTCAAATACAACACGAACAATGGCAGAAAGTAGCACATATTTTGTGTTGTTTCTGTTTTTTCAATGTTATATTTTTTAGAGATTCCTTGATGATAATACTGTCAGCACTTAGTGAAGCTTGTGTCAAATACTTAATATATCAAAAATAACATGTCTTAAACACATGTAAATGCTATGAAAATGGTAATTGGCAGGTTTTCAGATATTAAAGCTAGGCTTTAATATCTTTCATATCTTTATTTGAAAACTGGGGAAAAGGTGGGAAAAATGGTGATTATGCCCCTTTTTCCTCCGGTCTATGTGTCATTAACCATTCCTAAAATATCTGTTAATCTATTTGGGTGAAAAATCAGTTGTACGTACAACATAACAAAATTTTCCTCCAGAGCCTAGCTTTAACACAACCAGGTATCAAAGCTTAAGTATACCAAATATACTGTAGCTGAAGGAAGAAATAGAATACAGTACTTGCATATTAAATAAAGGTGTTTTCAATAGTTTAATCTAAATCCAATAAACAAATTCAAAATAAAATACCTTTTTTCATAGGATCTGCACCTCCAATTGACAATGATCCCAAAGAGGTATTGAGAGGGTGATCCCCTGCCCCTGCCCTTAATTTACTGACAATATCCTGGGGCGTCTGATCATTCTTTTGTAAAATATCTGGTGGTACAACAGCAAATTCAACCTCACTTCTTGGCAACGAAGAAAAACTACTGTTTCTGGAGATGTTTAAGAAAATTGGTTTAAAGTCCTTTTTCCTTTTGCAAGAAAAGAAAGAATAATATCATACATAATACAGTTATGATTAAGATTATTTAATCATAATTATCATGATAGTCATTACTTCCATAACTGTCACCATTATAACCGTTATCTTTCATGTCATTGTTGTTTGTCGTCCTCATTGTCGCTGCGGGTCATCACCATCGTCGTCATCAGCACCCTCATCCTACTGCTAATCCTACTCATCCTAATCCTCTTCTTCTGCCTCATTGCCATCATCATCATCAGGATCATCTCCATCATCATCATTTTCATAATCATCATTACCATTATCATCATCAACATCATCATTATTATCACCATCACCATCACCAATGTGAAGCCAGCATTTGAACTATTATCAAATATTATTGACACAGCAGATTATGTTTGATCAAATTTTACATTATACATATAACTCTACCTGTGCTTTTTAATCTTTTTACGGAAAACAGATTTAAGTACAAATCTGAACGCCAGCATGCAGCCGATAACGTCAACAGGTATCCTGACGATCAACCTTTGTTGGACGACTGTAACATTACTTTCGAAAGCTTTTGAATTCATATAGTTCTCAAGCTCATGTTTCCATGGGAACACATTTAGGCATATATCAAGAAATTTATCAAGGTGGGTTAGAATTGAAAACATCCAATACATCGTTGAAATGACATCAATATGACGAAGCCTAGTTAAAAAAAAAATAGAAATATGTATGCATTGTACAGTATTCATTTTTGTATTTAAATATTATAAATACAAAACCTATCAAACTATCCTGAACTAAAGAGAAAAATTACTGTAAATCAGATTGTAAAAAGCATAAAGAAAAGATAAACATCCAAACAACATATTTAAAATAAAATTAAAGCACCACCTTGATAAACAATTCTGTAACACTGATCATACTGTACGCTATAACTAACTTGTATATACAATAGCTTGGGTAATGCTGTTAGGTGGGTGTTCGCTAGAATTTTATATAAGCCTACCTCATTTTTTATTAACTGTTTTATCTTGTACATCATATACTACTTCTTTCGTCTGTCTCCGTTTTTGTCTCAATGTGATATTTTAGGACCCTGTTGGAAACAAGTTCTTCTGAACTTTCACGGGTTATCCTGGCATTAATATCTGTTTTTTCTGTCAATTTTTATAAGTGGTATATGATGTTCAAGGTACAGTAACTCAAAAATTAATTTTTGATGGATAAATATTTTTATAACATTTTGCATGTTTTTTTTATTTTTATTTGTGTACTGTTTTAATAAATTGTGGTTTTAATAATTATTAATGACATTTTTCACAAATGTATTTATTTTAAAATATTTTTTTTTTTTTAGTACTGTATTTTTAATGTTTATAATGCTGAAAAAAATAAAATGAAATGAAATGAAACATCGGCATTTGTAAAGCGTCCAGTGGCGGATTCAAGAATTTGAAACAGGGAGCCGAGAGAGGTATTAGACAAGTGGAGAGTCTAGACCACCTCAGGTAGCGAAATTTTATGATTTGTCCAGAAATGGCACTCTCAGAATTAAGATTGAATATAATTTTCTTTTTTTCTCTCCATTTGTTATAATGTTGAAAAATTTAGGTGCCCAGACCAGTCGGGCCTCTCTCCCTTGAATCCACCACTACAGTGGTGGCTGTGGTGTTTACATTCATGAGGTAACAGCTATCCAACAAGGGGGGGGGGGGTCTGACAATATGATGTTCTGTGATATTTTTTAATGCGATTAGGCCCATGCCCAATAAGATATATTTTCTTTCATTTCTAGTTTGAGTTGCAAGGCGAGCCGTCTACAGGCGCCAACACTGATTAGGCCTGATTGCATTGTGCAATACTTAGACCATAATTAATTGAACTCTGTACTTTTGTACACTGCTTAGGTCTAAAATTGAATAATCGGAGCTTTGTCTGCCATCAGATTTTCGACCCAGGGAGCATTCCGAATGTCTAAACAAATACTTTCTTGAATTGACGTACTTGTCAATCACTGCGTTCTGTTGACAACATGAATGGGGTAACATTCCAAGCTAAAGTGAAACAACACACATATCATGATTGTCTGCTATCATTTGTTAACCTAAAAACACTCCCTTCAATGAAGAAAAAACACATTTCAAAACAATATGGAGTTGAATTTCCAGTATTCATCTGGCCTCCAGTGTACAGACACCTGGTTAAAATGACATATGAGTATTGTGCTAGCCTCTGGAGTACAGACATTGTTAGTATATTATGTTGGGCCAGCAGATGAGGTCTGCTGTTAGGTCGATACATTTAAATTAATAAAAATATTTACCATACAAATGAAAAGAAACTGTCTAGATTGTCCTTTATTGGATACAGGTAAGAAGGAGAAGGTGGGGAATTACCTGTCACATACAGCTTTACCTTTAAAATGGTTACAGATCAGAAGAGGGCATGATAATGGAATTGTACCAGAGAGCTATGTATGTGTTTCATATGTGTTAGATCAAATGACCGGGAATGTGAAGCGATAGGTAAATGTAAAGGCAGATGATAATCCACAACTCGCAGCGTCATGTATTTTGTATAGGCATGGTCCGTGATTACCTACAGTAGCTGTCATAAAGAGGCACTTATAACAGCTACATGTTCATCAAATCATTCCACAACAGGGGCTGAACTACTAACAGTGTTTTTAACGTTATAAAAAGTAACAAAACTATATTATACCCTTACCTCAATCTTCCAGCTAATAGAATCGATAACATGCCTACAAAAATAACGACTGTACTGAGCAGCAGACTCGTCTGATCTTGTTTTGTATGAAAAAAAGTCATATTTAAGATTAAAACAACAATAACTTTATATTCACAATATTCAAAAACAATAATAAAAACAAATACTGTAATAATAATGTGCTAATGGGGCTTGCCATGCCAAAACCAGCATCAATGGCAAAAACAAGAAATTTGACTTTTTAATATATTCATGTTCTCCACATTATAAGCTGTAAAATGATGGGTCATTTACTGTAATGACCCATAATTCACACGGTAGGGGAGCCATGGGCTTATCCTAAGTGGAAGCTACCGAAGCCCAGCAAACTGACGCCGAGGTACCTACGTGTACACGAAAGTTATGGTGACTCTATCTCAAAATCGGGGGTGCATACTTCCCCCCCCCCTTCACATTCTTTTGTCTTTGTTTCATATGGCTTCATAAGTGCCTTGAGACGGTTTTCTGTGGAAGGCGCTATATAAAATATATGACCTTTGACCAATGTTATCAACTTACTAGTGCCGAAGTTATGAGTAAAAGCATTACGGCATCTCTATACTGAAGTATACAACACTGCCACATTTTTATACTACTTACTCAGGCCCCTGGTCGGCACCCCCTCGCGCTCTGAGCTTATGGCATTTATGAACTGTTTACTGCGTTGTCATAAAACATAGAATGGTCCAAAAAAACTGCAGCAATCATTTACATCAGCCCTGAGATAATGCGGTTTCTGTATGATGATGCCAGGCCAGTGTATTTTCAATGTTTGAAACTGTCAGGGCCCCAGTGAATGAAACTATGGTATTACATAGTTTATATTATATATTTTTTTTAAACTACAATATCGGGGCCCCTCCTACCTGGGGGCCATGGCGCTCAACCCCCCGTCAGCGCCCTAGCGTAACGCAACTGGTTTGCAGAATTATGAAAAAGGTATAATGAATGTATCATTGAAAAATTTTGTGGAGTGGTACATTGATCTAAGAAAAAGGTGAGTAAATTTTGCAGTGAAAGGTCAAAGATTTCAAAAATGTCCTTGATACTTAACCTCTCGAGTATGAAGAATGAATCTACTTGTATTACCCTTAAAAGCCCTGCATGAGGCATAGTGCGGAGTTATGGACTCTATAGACAGACGGCTCCATCAAATCTCGTTTCTAAACCAAACATTATTTTACAGTGAATTTTTTTTTTTTGATCAACTTTGCTGACCAACATCAGGTGAACCGAAGCTATATCATAGGGTCATTAAATGATATCATCCGATATCAGCCAATGGCACTCTTGAAAATGCTGATAACAATGAAGTGTTATGGCTGATGTTTGTAAAATATTAATGTGATATAGATATAGGTCTAATAATCTTACTGAGGCGATGTACTATACAGTAAATACATTTCTTCTTAAATACACGATATTGATTGGTTATACTACTGATGATGGTTAACAAAATCGATTATATAGTTATCGCTTTTCGTAACTAGTTACTGTTAGTGAAATATTATTTATTTATTTATTATTTATTTACGTTTATATTTATTATTTATATTAGCATATTCACACAAGTACCAAAAACCTGTCTTCTTATTACCATCTTGCATTCCGTAAAGTTTTGAAACTAATCGGACTTACCAAACTTTCGTTGTCGTGTTAACTATTTTAAATTTCTTAATTAATGCAATATTAATAATGCAAATGAGCAATCAGCCTATTCACAAACATACCAAAAACAATAGACTATTGCTTTATCACCATATTGCATTGTGCCAAGTTTGAGATCAATAAGACTTAACCAAAACTATAGTGTAACTAGCTTATTTTACCTGATAAGTGAAATACTAATTATGCAAATGAGTATTAGCATATTCACGTATGTACCAAAAACATAGGCACCATCTTCTTATTCAAAATGAGATATGTATATTTCTTCCTAATTATATTAAAGCATTTAACCATCCCATTACTACACTGTTTACATTCACCAATAAGATTTTATTTTTATTTTCTTCTCCGTCTGGTTGTTTTTGGCAAAACTATTTGAGGCATGTCATGGCAAAATGGTTAAGTTGTCGCACAGACCAGTATTGAGTAAAGGAGCTATAAAATATGGTAGCACAAAAAATTGCCTAAAAATCCAATTTTTTTTTTCACTATAGATCAACAGTTTAATATCTTATTAATCATGTCCCAAAGTATTAGTTCTGGAAGTGATCAACAAATCATTTAATTAATGTTATTTAGATAGATAATTCTATTAAACAATGTATGCACAAATAACTTTGGAAGGCAATTACTCAAAATCATGTTTATCTTGATTCTAAGAGTACTGTACATTCACTTTCCAATAACTTAGGCTTGAAATGTCCAATTTGAATGAACATTTTAAAGATCACATACTCAGGTATCTGAAAATACCAATAACTTGAATTTCAATTTTTGCTACAACTTAGCCATTTTGCCACGTGCCTCATTTGCCACATAAGAAAGCAAAATATTACTTTTTTTCCCTACCTCTTTTGACATCTTAAAAAAATAAGTTCACTAAACAAGGTATAAAAAAGTCTTGCCGTAACAAGATAATGGTTAACATTATTATTCTTAAAATATAAATTGATTGGTATTTGTCAATATATATTTTTAGAGATTGATGTTTATTATTGATAATGAGCATTACTAGCTAATTATCCTATGTGCATTATGTAAGATTAAAGAAATGCGACAGTTAAACGACATGTTGTTAACGTGATATGTTGTGGTTATTAGAGTTCAACCAGAGTTTAATACTGTGTAGTAACTATTTGCTGAGGTTCTGTCTTCGATTTGGAATTTGATAAAATGATCAATTCTGTTTGAAGTTAAAATACATTTTTGGCTTAGAACAAAGAAGAAAGTTCACCTATAACAACTAATAATAATGAAATTTCCAGTATTTTTCCTTACTTCTGAATATAATAGTTTTTTCTTCTGATTTTGCTTGGAATGTTCCAATATCAATGATTAAAATGGCAATTGTTGAAAGTAGTACAAACCATCGAAGAATGTGCACCAGTAATGGAACAGGCTGTTTAGATGTCAAACTCTGTGAAAAACAAAAGAATGAAAACCCAAGTGTATTATTGCGGTTGTGGGTAAAAAAGTTAAGAGTAAGACTTGTTTCATCCCCTTTTATATTGTCTAAAAACCAAAAACGATTTCTTTCTAAAGAGAAAAATTCACAAATTCTAATTTATATTCACTACACATTTGTACAATAACTTTTGTGCCCACAGTTATACCCTATTCAGACTAGCATTGCATTGTGATCAGTTGTAGCAACTGCAACACCCAATCGCAATTCATAATTGTGTGTGAAAGCTTACCAACAGTAGTCAATAAATAATCGATATAAGAATTGTTACCAGTTGCGATTGGGTGCCACAATGTTTATTAATACTCGCGATTACCACAGAATCTGATCACAACCGATCGCAATAAATTCCACAGGCACTGATTAGATGCTGTCAGTCAACATAGGTCTAACTACCAGAGGCCTAGTAGCTCCATTTCAATATAAAGTTTTTTTGTGTCTCTAATCCGGAATTTGCGGATTTACAGTGTTCAGGAAACAAAAACAAGTAAACGATTTACTCGCATAACTAACAAGTGAGATGATAGCTACCTATTTACAGCCCACCTGGGGCAGTACACACAAAAATTGTTAAAATTAGCCATGCACTTTGCACCAAGTTTGCCAGAAAGTAGAAAACAAATCTTATAATACTTACTGCAAACTTCTTGGGTAACCTAGAGTCCTTCATACTAAATATTTAATGAGGTCATTTCTGTAATTTTGTCTTTCATTTAAGACTCAACAGCATTTGTTATTGAATATTGTATTCCTACAGTTGTTGAGATTTAGTTGTTACAATTAAGGTTTGTTGCAGACTTTCAAAACATGGCCCGGAAAGGCCAATCTATAAAAAAAAGACTGAAATGATATCCTTCAAATGTAATTATAACTATTATTTTTATAAAGTTCCCTTTTTTTGTATAAACTACAGTATAATCAATCAATCTATCAACCAATAATTCAATTTTCCCATTTATAGGTACTTAGAGTATACATATCAACTTTTTTTTGTTCATGCTTAATTTTCCTATACCGGTATATATTTCAGCAGTGTTGTTAAAGATTCAATTTGTATTAATAGTTAAGATGTTTGTATGACACACCACCTCTCAAGTGCCACCAACATAAATGGTGTACGTCAATGAATTATTATCATTTTTATGACACCACTGCAGCAGTAATTCTCATGGCGGTCTTAAAACCTCTTTATTAATAGCTTATATGTGAGGTCTCACCACGAAACGAGACGCATCTTTGGTGAAATCATATTGAGATATTCTCCAAAATAGGTCAAAGGCAACATTTTTACAAAATTTTGATTTTAATGTTTTTGAATAACTTGATACTTACATTTTATTATTTTTTAAGTGAATTTTCTTACTAAAACAGTGTTCTCTTCACATATTCTGTAATTCTAGTCCTATTATTTGTACAGGTTAGTTTATGTTTGATTCTGACTTTCTCAAAATCTGGTTCTCATACACCTAAACTATAAATGCTAACATCTCTGGATCTATTTATTCTAGGGAAGCCATTCAAAGACCAAATTAAAGCTTATAATGTGATCTACTAAAATGTAATATTAACTCATTTTTTGATTTTCTAACGATGAGACTCATTTTGTAGTGAGACCTCACATATAAGAAGACGTGATTTACTTTCTTCCATTCTCAAATGTTATTTTGTTTTATATATTTATGGGCCAAAGTCGTAAAATACAAATAAATGTCCTAGACCATGGAGTCTACAAATTAAGAAATGATTATAAAAGAGGTGTGAATTGTGTAGCGACTTTTAACCCTTATCGTGCTGAAAATCACTGGTGCGTGATATTCTTGCATGCCAATTTACTTTTACAAAACTACATAATTACACAGCAGAAATTAGTGTCTCTCTTTAAATGAAATTTTCACATATTTCTTGAACACTAAACAAAAAACTATTTATAAAAAAAATAATCCTCATAGCACATATATTCTATATGTGATACTGGTTTGTAAAAAAAATTGTTTTACAATCAGGGAAATGTTCCGTTTCCGCCATCCAATTTGGCCTATTTCTTTGTATAGGCTATGCCTAACTACGCCTAGGCTAGGCCCTAGTCCTACCTTGTCCCCGCTGCACCACCGGCGATATTAGCTTCTTCCCCATCATAACCATCACTCTCATCACTCTCACTAGCCTACAAAAACACAACTATAATTCCACAAAAATGTTCCTGGTCTCTATCCACACTATTATCATCAAAAACATCATGTATGGCTCGTTCCACAGTATATCGCTGCTGCGCGACCATACTGAAACTTTCAAAAATAAGTTGACATTTTTGTTTGATTTATAAAATATTTTTCAATAAAAGTTGTCAAGATTTTTGTTTATTCGAGAAGTTCAAAGTGTAAGTAACCCGGATGCAAAAACAAATGAGCATCAGAATGATATATAGACAGTATAGAGGGCGAAATCCATGTATACTTATACGTATGTGTCGCACTAGTGCGTCTAGAGCATTCAACGGTAAATTGTTGTCACACTATTGCGCCTACGACACGATAAGGGTTGTTAACTGTCAAACGAAAATAAACTCGCTAAACGTGGTATAATTGTCTTGCCTAATAATTCAAAGTTTTATCTATCCATACGAAATTAATAAGTTTATTCCTCTCTTTTTAAAATATATATAAAACAGCATTACCCTAATTTGTAATAGTTTTCTACCCAACAGGTTTTTCTGGACCCAGTCATCAACTTCATGTAATTTCCTCTGGGTCTGGAGTTCGCAGCCTAAGCACAATTGGTACAAGCTGTCCAAGTGTGCAGCAAAATCTTCAATTTCAAAATCATAATTTTTCTGAAAAGAAAAAAAAAATTAATTGGATACATAAACTGTTAATCCTGTGCAGACTATCAAATTTTATTTGACAAAAACATGTGAAATGCCTAAATATGGTAATGATGACATCACATCATGACCATATATAGGCACATCATGACTATATATGGGCAGGGCAAGTTTTTTTGTCAAAAGAAAATTTGACATTCTGGACAAAGACATAGTTAACTAGTGACAGTAGTATGAAGAAAACAAGGAAATGTTTTGTTGAAAAAACTTTTTGTTGAGTATTACTTTTATTCAGCTTGTATTCAATTTTTGACAATAAAGTGAAATGAAATTAACGAAATAGACTTTGTTGACAAAGGAACCACAGTGCTTTAATTTGCAGAAAGTTATCTACATGACCAAACAAAACATGGTTATTTGATCGGTTTAGCAAAAACATTTGCGTTGATATAAAGTAGATTATATTTTAGAATCCAATAATTATAATATTTATCCACATAAAGTCAATATGGTAATTTTTGGCCAACAAGAAGGGAGAATATTACAAAATTAAAATATTTGTTTATGACAAAACCCAACAGCAACAAGCTGAGACTACTATGGCTACGATAGCGTGTATTGCGGTACCTATGCTGCCATTTTGTTTTGTTGAGTATTTTTACCAGTTATATATTCACCTGCACATCTTCCATATAAGTAGGATTTTGTCACTGTGCAGGTAGGCGTTGTTTAACAAAGAACGACTAGTAGAATATGGACAATCGAAAACTATTTTTTAGATATATTATAATTGTAAGATGGAGGGCGACAAACATTTTTTTTTTCTCATACATACCATATTATAAGGAACAAACATGGCCAGTTGCTGTACTTTCAGTTGTTGATTCTGGTTGCACTGATCACAGAGAATATTCTTAAATTTCTTGTCATCAACGGTTACCGCTGGATTCTGTGCGTACACGCCTTGGTTGAAATCGGAGTAGTGTTGTGCTGGGATTGGCTTATTATAATTCCCCTCCTGCCAAAAAAAAAAAAATGTTGGGATAATTATTGTTAGATCTTTACAATGGTGTGGGTTGCAGAGGTAGCTTAATCATACAGTAACTATAAATGAGGCAGACAGATGTACAGTACCCTGAAGAAATGTACTAATATTACACAAGGCAAAATGTTACACAGGACTGGTTCTAGGGAAATTTAACAACTGTCCCCTGCTAAATTGTTTATGTATGAATTCACATATGTATCTTTGCCTACCCAGCAGTATAAATGGGTACCTGGTATAATTTAAACGTGGCAATTGATATTAGCATACCTAAGAGTGCTGAAAAGGGTGGGGAAAGGGCTGATGGGAAGCGCAAAAGTGACAGGGAGGGGGGGCCTTGAAAATTAAATGAGGGGAGGCTAGCTCTGTGCACATCCCTAGATACGCCACTTTGTATTAGTATCAGTTTTCGCTGGTTACAGCTAAATTTACACTAGACACAATTACGACACAATACAGATGCGCGCAACGTTGGAGAATACAAGCTACGCGATGATGTGGTTGTTGTCTCGTTATCGTGTCTAGTGTAAATCTAGCTTTAAGGATGTTTTACTATCAAATTTTCTCTGACTAAAAAGCAACAAACTGGTGTATGCCCATATAGTCATGATGTGCCTATATATGGTCATGATGTGATGTCATCATGACCATATTTAGGCATGTCACATGTTTTTGTCAAATAAAATTGAGAGTCGGGACAGGACTTAAGTGTCCTAGAACCAGAGGTGGCAGCAAACATAAATTATAATCTACTTACGCTATCAAACCCATTGTATTGATCACAATGCGGACAATCCCAACAGTTGGCATTTCCCGCTGGTACAGTGGAGTTAACATTGCAAAACCAACAGTTCACAGTCAGTTCCCGTGGTCTGAAATATCAAACATATTCAATGAAGCATAAAAAATGACATTAAAAAAGAAACTTCCGAAACAGATAATAACAGTTCATACAAACAATATTCACCCAAAATATGCGTTAACAACACAAATCTTTCAAGAAGGTGGTCTAGATCCACCATCCGTCAAACTCCCTCCCTGGGCCCCCTCAATTCCTGCATCCACCACTCCACCCCTTAGTTTGAATCTCTTTTTCGGACCAGTTGGACCTTCTGGCGGCCATTTCTGTAGCAACTACTTTTAATTATGCCAACAACATACATCCATTGAAAAAACCAAAGAAAATCAACCAACTTCTTGAAAACTTTCCACAATATAATGAGGATGATCAAGCTTGACACTGAGAAGAGAAACACATGTTGATGTGATGAGACCCATGCCTTCAAGAAGTTCTAGAAATAAAATAAAAAAAATAATTGTTATAATAAACAAAGGAGCAGCAGATGTTCCTTTCTTTTTATTTAAATTTCATTAAGACACAGATTATTTAAATATTTCAAAACTGGGGAAAATTCCCCCACCAAATGTTTAAAAATCTGTATCTTTAAAACCATATACCTATTTCACGCTGCGGTAGACATGCTCGATCAATGACAAATAGTGCTGAGCATCGAGGCGTAACCAACAGCAATCATCAATAGTGTTCTGCCTGAAGGCAGGTCCCTCAAGGAGTTCTATTCCAGTATTCTCAGTCCTCTGCATCCCAGTGGCGTATCTAGAAGTCTTGAATTGGGGGAGGGGGGCTGATGAGGGGCACGAAGGTAAACCCACGCCCTTCCCTAGATACGCCACTGCTGCATCCCTCTTCAACTCGTTGTAACTCTTTTCATAACTCTTTTCATTCCGGATATCATCAAGCAGCATTATTCTTTTCCTTCCTCTTGGTCTTTTTCCTACTCTACCTTCTATTACATCCTTCAAAAGACTGTTGTGCCGCAACATGTGACCGATCCATCTCTTTTTCCTTTGTTCGATTGAAATTGCTACATTTAGCTGTGTTTCACCAACTCTTTCTAAAACATCCTTGTTACTAACCCTGTCCATCCACTTGATGTTAGCCATTCTTCTCCACAACCACATCTCACATGCATCTATACTTTTTCTCTCAGCTTTTCTCAAGGTCCATGTCTCTGGTCCATATAGCAATACATTCCAGCCTAAGGACTGAACCAATCTCTTTTTCAAATGAAGACAAACACGACCAGTAAATAGAGATTTATTCTTTTCAAACGCTGTCTTCGCCATGCCTATTCTTGCTCTAATCTCATTCTCACTGTATCCATCCTCAGTTTATGCTTCCCAAATATTGGAACTGTTGAACTTGCTCTAATTCCTGTCCTTCTACTTGGACACTGACCCTACGGGGCTGCCTTCCAACCTTCATCACCTTTCTCGTCTTTATGTTGATCTTCATACCATAATAGTTGACAATCCTGTTGGTGTAATCCATCAGATCTGCAGACCAGCTTCCGTACCTGATATATTGCTTGATCATCTGCAAAACGTACAGATTTTACAAGCTGTCCTCCAACTTTCATTCCTTCTCCAAGTCATCAAGCGTTTCTCTTTTTCTCAAGTGGCACCACTAGTACATACTTACAAAAGTCTTCAGGCCAAGTTCCATCTTTATGGGAATGCACATGGGCGTCGATTGGTGGGGGACAAGGGGGATGCGTCCCCCCACTTTTCATCATATCGATTGTCCCCCCCCCACTTTTCACCAATCTTCTATAATTAAAACCCCACTTTTACAAGCGAATGGAAAGAATAACAATTACGCATGACTCATGAATTTTGTCCGTTCACTTTTCTAAGTGCGGTACGTATTTTCCGGACCAAAACCAAGTAAAAACGCAATTGTTTAAACATTTTGTAACCATCTCAGAAACCCACTAGATCGATTTTATGGGTGTAACGACTATCAGAGGCTAAATTTATTGTGTAAACAATGTACTGAACGTTGTTGAAATTGGAAGCATGTATCCTTATTAGGCCAATATTTTTACAAACTCAAAAGTGCACAATTTCTAATATAAACGGTTTATTCTTTTTGTATATTATTATGACCCATACGTATACTAGTGTTTAATATTATCTACATACATAGGATTACTGTTTTTTCTAATTTCACGGATATGATGTCTACCTATTTCGATTAAGTGATAAGCCTACCAAAAGTTTACAAACTCCAGTGTTACGTTGACCAGGGAGTTGTTATAGTGACTATAACAACTCCTCGCAGTCTCGCAATGACGCCATAATAGTGGGGCCGAGCCAGCCCTGATTTTTTCAAAATTTTTTTTTTTAAATGGGAAAAAAAAACAAAGGAAAATTAGAATTAAAATTTAGGTCTGAGAGTGCCATTTCCGGCAATCTAGAGGTGTCATATTCATAAATTTTCTTTCTTCAGCCCCAACCATGGTGGGGCTGAGGTGATCTACTTTTCCAACGTGCAAGTCCTTCCCTGTCCCCCCTCTAATTTGCTTTCCTGGAGCCGCGACTGATAATGATAAATTAAGTAAATCACATTTATGTTTGTGAAATCAAAATGCTAACTAATGTTTTGTGTGCTCCCTATCTCCCTAGTCATGTTTGATCGTAAATTAGACGGTATTATTTCCATTCACAATAATTTATCGCAATATTACTTACACAAAAGTGAAATTCAAAAAGAGGAGAAAAGCAAAAACCTCTTAATTGACTTTAAAAGTACTGTATGCAAAAAGACTAAATTAATGACTGTTTTAAGTTTATCTTATTTGTTTTTCATAGTTCGAATTTTGAATACGTTACAAGCTAATCAGTTGATAATAAATCATTATTTTTATGAATGTTAGTTTGCACGAAATATATAATCAGGCATAATTATGACTAAAAAGGATAATTTTAAAAACTTTTTATGAGTATTTCAGTGGCAGATTCAAGGGGCCCAGCATCACTATTTTTATTTTTTTTTGAAATTTAAAAGTGGAGAAAAATTTAATTTATATTCAAATTCAGTCTGAGAGTGCCATTTCCGACCAACTGGAGGTGCCATAATCATAAATTTTCTTAACTCAGCCCCAACCATGGTGGGGCTGAGGTGGTAGTCCAACTACACTCTCCATCTGTAAAAGTCCCTCTCTGGGCCCAGCTCTATTTCAAATTACTGGATCCTCCACTGGAAATAAATGTTAATTGCATTGCTTAAAATCAATTAAAAGGCTATATGCGC